TTTCAGAAATGTGATGAGGCATATGACAATGGTAATGGGATCTCAAAAGAAGAATATTGGTCTAGAATAGTGAATATCTCTATGGAAGTAATAGAAAGACTTCGTGATAAAGTTAATGACTTTTCATTTGAAAGGTTGAGATTGTAAAGTGAGGGCAGTCTAAATACTTTCATGAGGTAGGTAAGAAGGTTATGGATGAATCTATGAAGGTGAATAATTTGCATACCTTACATTAGATTGTGGAGGACGTACTCAAAGAGATCATAAATGATATTTTACAGATAGACCTTAATGGGATGATTAAAACTGCTGTATGGAAGCCCGATAAAAATAACAAGAGTGTTTAGCATTTCATTTTACTAATGCGAGATAGACATACCCGTGAAGAAGAGATGCCAAACAGTGCATAAAAAAGGGCTTAACACCCAAGCCTTATCTTTATGAAATCCCAGAACCAGGCAAACGCTTTGAGTATATTGTAATTAAGAATGATTCATCACAGAGGGTAGGCGATAAAATGGAGTATCCAGAAGTAGTGAGGCGATTAGGTAAAAAGATTGATATCAGCTATTATCTGAAAACTATTGTCGGTCTCTGTGCACGATTTATTAACTATGATGAAAGTTTCCAACAATCATATGAAATTGTACTGAGAGCCTTAAAAATTTAAAAGATAGTAATAAAGCAGATAACAATAAAGTAGATGATGGTGTGGTGGATGAAGATGACCTGGACGAAGATAAAGAGGATGAAGATGAAATGGATGAAGATGAAGTATCAAAAATAAGAGATGTCTTAGTGCAGAAATCAGCTGAAAAATGGGTTAGAGGGTATATCAAAAAACTATATATTGGTCTGAAAAAAGGTCATGCCATTGTAGAAAGAGGCTAATACTTATGCGAAAAATTTATTTAATAGCACGTATGCTGATAAAATAGTAAAATACTTAGGAAATTATGCTTATTGGTCTTTCTATCTCAATGCATTAGACAAGCAAGAGGAATCCATCTGCTTAAAGCTAACAACATTACTCACAGAATTTCTAAGATCGATTTTGGCTATAAAGATGGAATGTATAAATTAGTTACTAAGGTCAGTAAGCGCAGATCAAAAGTCATGTCCTTAGAAAGATATATGTTATCATATAATCTAGAAAATAGATATGATTTACTAACTGATTTATGAAATACATGGTACAGTCAGACCTGTCTATAATCATCCTATTTATAATCACATCCTGTCTATAATCACTTAATTTTAATATCCCAAAAATATAATATTTGTTTACCCTTTTTATAATCACAACTATATATTAATCACTATTACCAGGAAAAAAGGTTTTTGCATATTGAATAATTAATAAATAAACTATTTATAATCGCATTTCATGTGACATTATTATAAAAATAATTTTGGTAATGATCGGTGATTTTGAATAGAAAACCTTTTTTTTTTATAACTTTTTTTTTTATTTTTTTATTTTTAATCTGAAACTCAACCCAAAATCAAAATTGTATCCAAAATCTGAAACTCAGTTTCAGTGTTATGATAAAGGTTTATTCTAGAATCAGAGGCAAGTTTTATGAAGAGGGAAGGTTAGTATTTTTTTTTTAATTAATTAATTAAAAAAATTAAATAATTACTTACTTACCTCTTTCTCTTTTTGTAGGTATCAGAAACCTTAGTTCGATCGGTTCGGAGATGAGTCCTACGAAGAAAAGGTAGAGTTATTAATTGATAAATATTTTTTTTAAAATTAAATAAATTATAAAATACTTACCTTATACTTTTTGTAGTATCGGGAGTCCTATGAAGGGAGAAGATCAGTAATATTTTTTTTTACTATCGCTATAATTATTAATATTAAAATTATATAATTAATATTTTTTTTCTCATTAAATAAATAAATTAAATAATAAA